TGCACGGCCCGTGTGTCCATTGCCGGTCATCCTACATTAGTTCAGTTTGCCGTCATTGAAATGTGTCCCCATGACCTAATACTTGGTTTGGACTTCCTGTCACATCATTCTGCGCTCATTGATTGTGCCACTGGTGCTCTTCAGCTTGAACTGCCGCAGTTTGCCGATTTTTCAGCTGACTCTTCTCCCCGTTTATGCTCTCGTCACCACGTTCGCTTGCCTCAGCAAGCTGCTACATATGTCACTTTGTCGTGCTCACGTCATGTGCCCGATGGTGACTACCTCGTCACTCCTATAGTCGGCGTACTGATGGCCCGAGACGTCGCCCTTGCTCACACCATTGTCGCCGTCGCTAATAACACAGTGGTTATACCACTACTCAACGTGAGTCTCTTGACTCAAGTTATTCCGCAAGACATGTCTTTGGCCACCCTATCTCCACTTGACAGCTGCAACGTTACTGGTTTGGACACCGATACTACATCCCCCTGTCTTGGCCGCAATTACACTCTGCCTGCATATGACATGAACAAGATGATTGCTCCCGTCCTCACTGCAGCGCAAGCTGCCAGCCTCCATAGTCTGCTAACATCATATAGAGAAGTTTTCGACTTTGACCACCGCCCTCTCAGCCAAACAACCGCAGTGGCTCACCGGATCAACACTGGTGATGCCAGTCCTATACGGCGGCATCCATATAGCGTATCTCACAAGGAACGCCAAGTAATTCAGAATGAAGTGGACAAAATTATTAATAAAGACGTAATAGAACCCTCATCCAGCCCCTGGGCCTCCCTAGTCGTGCTCGTTGAGAAGAAGGATGGCGCTTTTGCGTGGACTATCGCCATTTAAACAAAGTGAGCCACAAAAATGTCTACCTTTGCCTCGGATTTATGACGCCCTCGATTGCCTCCATGGTGCCCAATACTTTTCGTCTATCGGCCTTCGGTCCGGCTATTGGCAAATTTCCGTCCACCCCATGGATCGTCAAAAAACCGCTTTCGTTACGCCCGACGGCCTCTACCAGTTCAAAGTCATGCCGTTTGGACTGTGTAATGCGCCGGCAACTTTCGAGCGCATGATTGATTCCCTTCTTTGAGGATATAAGTGGTCCATCTGCTTATGTTACTTGGACGATGTCATCGTCTTTTCACCTACCTTTGACAGCCATATAACACGTCTGTCAGCCGTTCTGGATGTTTTTCGAAGAGCTGCTCTCCAGCTCAATTCTGCAAAATGCCATTTCGGACGTCGCCAAATCACCATACTCGGCCACCTTGTCAGTGCCGATGGCGTTCAACCAGATCCCGAAAAGGTGCGAGCAGTACAACAATTTACTGAACCACGCTCAACCAAGGACGTCCGAAGTTTTGTAGGACTATGTTCCTATTTTCGTCGATTTGTCCGCAACTTTGCCGACATCGCTCGACCGCTTACTGATCTCTTAAAGAAGGACGTTCTCTTCGCATGGGGCATAGAGCAAGCGGACGCCTTTTCGGCTCTTATCCATCTGCTGACTACGCCACCAATACTGGCTTATTTCGACCCTGCATCACCTACAGAGCTTCGGACCGATGCCAGTGGCCATGGAATTGGAGCGGTCCTTGGCCAACGACAGCACGGGAAGGACCGTGTGATTGCTTACGCCAGTCGTCTTCTTTCACCTGCCGAACGGAAGTTCTCCATCACTGAGCGTGAATGCCTAGCTTTAGTGTGGGCCGTGGCGAAATTCAGGCCTTACCTGTATGGCCGAACTTTTTCCGTTGTTACGGACCATCACGCTCTTTGCTGGCTGTCATCGCTAAAGGACCCATCTGGATGTCTCGGTCGCTGGGCGCTCCGTCTGCAAGAATACTCGTTCGTGGTACACTACAAGTCGGGACGCCTGCACACAGACGCAGACTGTTTGTCACGTTATCCGGTTGAAACGCTCGACTTGACAGACCTTGAATCAGACACCTGCGTTCTCTCCATCCACGCTTTGGGTGATATCTCCACCGAACAACGACGTGACCCGTCGTTACTCTCCATCATCGATCGTCTGACCTCTGCTCCAACAGACCCTTCCGTTCGCCTGTTCGAACTGCACGACAACATTCTGTACCGTCGCAGCTTCAACGCGGATGGCCCAGAATTACTACTCGTGCTTCCCCATCACCTGCGTACCAGCGTTCTCAAACAACTACATGACGTACCTACAGCCGGTCACCTAGGCGTCTCTCGTACCTACGATCGTGTGCAACGTCGCTTTTTCTGGCCCGGACTGTATCGTTCTGTGTTTCGCTACGTCACTGCTTGCGACCGCTGCCAACGCCGCAAGCGCCCCTCTGTGCTACCGTCTGGCCTCCTACAGCCCAATGACATACCGACGGAACCAATCTTCCGTGTTGGCCTTGACCTGTTGGGCCCGTTTCCTACGTCCACCTCCGGAAATAAATGGGTTGCAGTCGCCACAGACTACGCCACACGCTTTGCCATCACTAAAGCACTGCCGACAAGCTGTTCCACTGACATCGCTGACTTTCTCTTGTATGAAGTCATTCTTCATCACGGCGCTCCGCGGCAGCTGCTTACTGATCGAGGAAGGTACTTTCTTTCACGTGTTATGGATGACATTCTCCGCGCCTGCTCCACTGAGCACAAGCTTACCACCGCTTATCATCTACAGACAAATGGATTGACCGAGCGTCTGAACTGAACGCTGACACAGATGCTGTCAATGTACGTTTCGCCAGATCACCGTGACTGGGACAAAGCACTCCCCTTTGTCACGTTCGCGTACGATTCTTCACGGCACGACACAGCTAGTTACTCACCGTTTTATTGGCTATTTGGCCGACATCCAGCATTACCATTTGACACGCTCCTTCTTTCGGCTGCCCCCTTGTCTACTGAGTACGCCAGAGATGTCGTTTCTCAAGCCCATGCAGCCCGTCAGCTTGCCCGTGATCGGCTGCACTTGTCGCAAGCGCACCGAAAAGACCGTTATGACAGTCGCCACCAAAGCATGCACTTCTCGCCGGGGTCTCTGGTACTTCTCTGGACACCAAACCACCAATTCGGCTTATCAGAGAAGCTACTATTACACTACCATGGCCCCTACAAAGTGTTACGACAACTTAGTGACGTGAGCTACGAGATCGCACCCCTAAACAACGCCTCTTCGACCCTCTTACTCCAGACAGACGTTGTACACGTTTCCAGACTCAAACCGTATCACCCTCCTCGTTCGTCGCCGCCGTACTAAGCGCCGTGACGGCGCTTCCGCCACAGGGGAGTGATGTTACAGTGCATCATCGACAGGAGCAAGCGTGGCACTTTGCGAAGATGAAGAAGATGCCTGTGCGTTAGGCGCTTGCGCGAGAGGCAACTCAGACATCTTGTTCGGCTGTCGATTCTCGGTGGACGCTATTCTATAAGCCTAGACCTTGCCCCATCACAATATGGCCTATGTAAACTTGTTTCTTTTTATCTCGCCTGCTGAAAGTTTTTATGTGTCCATATATCTGACCACCACCGCCAAACTCAGATGCCACTGCGTGAAGTGAATGATACGATAGACGTAGTCTCTCTCTCTCTCTCTCTTTTTTTTTTTTTTTTGCACAGTTGCGTGTAAAGGAGAGCTGCCTTGTCCACAAGACTTGTGTGGGGAAACGTTCGCCTACTCTCTGAGCTGTTATAAAAAATACTCTCGCGGTAAACACTCCACGCAGAGATGCCTCTGTTTAACTTAATTTGTGCAAAGACAAGGTTCTTGTTATGAGCAAAGCAGTGGGCTACTCAAAGCTTGGCTTTCTGGAGTCAGCCAATACAGTAAGCATTTTTCTCACTGGCCGCCATGGCTAGGTAACATTGGAATTTATGCCTTCCTAGAGAAGTATCAAATGTCTTCGATTTTCACTCGTTGTTTAGTTTGCCTATTAACAAAGCTTCAGTTTTTCCACTTGCCTGTGTCGGCCTATAATAGAGGTGTCTGTTAACATTGATAACTGCTAGGCTTTCATGTGCCAAACAAGATATCATTTTGAGGTACCCTGTAGCATGCCTATCAAGATTGTGACCGCTTTGGGTTCTCCAATGCGCACATATATCTTGGTTCATAAGTGCTCTTTTTATATTTTACCCCCATCGAAGTGCGGCCGCCGTGGTCACTAACCTATTCCGCTCCCTTAAGAATAGTAGCGCGACACTACACATGCTATGCTGCCACAGTGGTTTGCTTGATCAACGTCCCCGTGCATACATACCGCGGACACGGCGTACAAGCGATGCCAGTAAAAAAAATGATGCAACTACCACTTACTCTGCTTTTTTTTTTTTTTTTTACTGCAGACTGAGGGCATGCCAGCCAGTACTAGCATTAGCCCAACTCAGCACGCAACCAGGAAATGAGGACAAGGGAGCCGTCATCACGGCACAGCACTGCCCCTTTGATACTATACGCATAGATGTTGTCCGCATTGCAGGGCTTCTCTCCGTTTTTTAGTGCTTTTTGTGTGAGAGTAGCCTTCGGACAAAGTTATTTTTTTAAAACTACAGTGCAGTATTACTGGTGCCATGGCTTTTCGAGCTGTTCGTTTCAAAATGAAGCGCAGTAGCGGCGCATGCGCGTGCTCTCAGAGTGGTACACTACGGCCGGTCGTCTGGGCGCGAGCAGCTGAGTTGTGTCACAACTCTCCGCCAGGTGTTTTTTTTTTTTCGGCGCGCCATCTATCTAGCGCTGGTCCCCCATGGGGTCTTACTGGGAATTGGCCTGCACAGTGACCAAGGCAGTGAATAAAGGCTACAGACTCGCACTTAACTCCAAGTTTTCTCTAAAGAACATCACCAACAATGCTCTTTGTCAAGAATACCTCGTTTTCCCTGCTGTTTTCCAAAATGTCATAAACTATAATTCACTATAGAATTTATCGGCAATGTATTGCTTGTAAACAAAAGGAGTTTTAAGGCTATGACTCACCAATACCTTCACAAAAGAATTGATGAATCAATCACCGCAGGTTTCCTGGCGGTTTGGCTCACATCCACGGCGCAGTAGCGAGGCATTTCTGCGACAGCCACGCTTCGTCCACCTCCTGGATGAGAACCAAAAGTTTGCAACATCCATCAACTTCCCGCAGAGCCACTCTTCCATAGTGCGCGTCGGCATCATCGGATCGGGCCTGCGGAGCATACCTCCACCACCGCCCATCGCGGACGAGGAGGTGGCGCTAAACAAGCAGCTTTTATTGGAGGCCATCACCGCTTGCTGCGCATTGCCCTGGCGCAACGACAGGCCGTCACCTATGCGCACTTCTCCGGTAGGCGGCATGAAGATTGTCGCATTGCTCCTAGTCGAGATGATATCGTCGGACGTCATGTTCAACGGGCTTCCTTGGCCGGATGAGGATTTTCTCAAGGTGACAATAAAATCTGCTATCTTTGGTGCCAAACGAGCGTCATTCACACCATGTCAATGATGCTGCAGTCACTGTGATTGTGTTTGGGGAGCTCACATTATTACCTTCAAAGCAGCAGCTGAGAAAATAGCATGTCGACAATAGTGGTAATGCGTGTGTGATCCAACTGGTATGTTTCAACAGTTATCTTTGAAGTATGCTAGACGGATGGGTTCGCCTGTTGCTTGGGTGTATGCAGACAAGTTTTCGTTACCTATTTCATTTCCTCAGTTGTTAGTTGGTGTTTTGTGGTCTCTTGACTTCTTGGGTGTGTTTTCACGTCAACATGACTTCTTGGGCTAGTTGGTTATGTGCCTTGAAAAGTGGAATGGTGCCAACTCACATGAACTAGAGAGAGACGACAGGACGAGCGGTAATGTTCAACTGATTTGTTTATTTTCAAGATTAACATGTAAATAGGTTTGCACCCAAAGGTCTAATCATCGTGCATGAAAGCTTGTTGTCTCAAAAATTGTCAACTCACGTATAGTCAGTACCACCGTGGAGCAGCTGACAAGGCTATCAATGGCCCTCGAAGTCAAGGTGGCTTAAACAATCTCACTTCTGGTCTTATCCCCATTTCTATATATATACGCAACGGGGCACTCTGTGAACAACAACGCTTTACACCCACAATCATTGCAATGTACAGACTGTCTCTATATCTGCCCAGTTTCTGCTTATGTTCTCTTAGCCTATTATCATTCAGGCATCTCCCCGACTACGCAATGTAAACCTTGCCACCAGAAAACAAAAAGTGATGCACTACATTATTTACACATGGAACAAAGAGTGATTGACTTTTTTTCACGCATTTTGTCTGTCTTTAGGCTAATGGGTCTGTAGTCTTGCAAATGCTCGTTAGTTTTTCTCGGGTAGAAAAAAGCGCATCTGCCTTAACCTTCTGACCTAGTTTCTTTGGAGCGTGCGACACGTAGTGAATGCACCGCACAACAACCTTTTTCATTCCATTTGAACTGTCTGTGCAAGTTCTAAACGGTTTATTTAACTTTTTTAGCGCACTTTCTGCTACTGAGATAATTTACATGGCCGAAGCACCCTGCCAGTGAAAGGCCCTCCTTCTGATTATCAAAACTGCTAGACGTCTTATGGGGGAATGATTTGCGAAGTGTGTTGTAAAATAAAAATTAGCGAGTGCTTGCTTCACCAGCCTAGATTTATACGAAAGCAGAATCTTGTTGTCGCGAGGGTGATCATTCCAACACACACGATATTCAAACAGAAGAACTCTTATGTCTTGAAAAATTCCAGTACCTCGGGCTCTTTTGCGTGTAGTATTTCTAATTCCTGTGCAGTATATTTCCCCTCATCACCATTGCCACGTGCTGCACCAGAACACTTTCCTTCCACACGGAGTCAAAAGTTCTTCCTGAAGAAGTTGCACTACTGTTTGGCGGCTTTGCGCCTTCACTCAGTCATAAAATGAGGATAGGAGTGGCAATGACAGGCCGGCAAGATATGCAGGAGTATTCTGCAACAGGGAATCGGTTTGTCTGCCAGGCACAATTCAAAAGCCTACTGTCAAACCCGAAAATTTCATTGCATCACGAATCGCACGATAGAGTGGATGCAGTTTGCAAGCCGACCTACCAAAGGTTCTTCACGCTCTGGCTCGGAGTGTCAGCACACTAAGGCAGGTCAAAGAGACACTTGGCCTTGGTCCCAAGTTCACCAGTGAACCTGGGAAGTCAATCCCCGAGCTGATTTCTCTAACAAAATTGGTGGCTAGAGTAGCGCCGAGGATGACAGTCTCGCGACCGAGTGCGTCACTGTGCTGTCCCGAAAGAGGTCTGCACCGAATCGCCAGCCAGTTCATCATGTGCAGCAATTTTTGCGGGATAATTCACTGTGCCTTCTGCCAGCGGACAAAGATCATGGATTTATTGTTGTCGCAGAAGAGGAGTTTGCGTCAGCAACCCACGCATCCGTAAAATCTGTATTGAAAAGATGTGTTAGTGTTTCGTTTAAAAAAAAAAGTGAAAGCAAAGTGGAAAAAAGGTATGCTCAAATCTCAAGTTAGATGAGCTAGGTGCCTAGATAAAAGTGGTGACCTTGATCTGAAGGTAAAGCAGGGAAGGCCTTTTTAGGTCATAGTTTTGCGAAGAGGTACATCGCAGAAGTGACTGAGCAGTTTTTTTTTTTTTTCCGGAATGGGCACCACATGTTGCGCATTGATGATGCGTTCGACGCTACAAGCTTGAATGATGTGGTACAGTTCCTAAGAACGAACATTGGCAAAGGTATTCCAGCTTGTTATATGTACATAACAAATTACACACACACCCACACACGCACGCACACACACACACACACACACACACACACACACACACACACACACACACACACACACACACACACACACACACACGTAAGGGAAAGAAGTGTGTACCTAAGGGCTCGTTTTTCCGTGTTTTGACACAATATTAATGAGATCTAACAGACCACAACGCCAAGGAATGTATAGGGGAAGTTATTAGAACTAATGCAATGTAAATAAGAAGAAAGAAAAGTGGGTGAAAAAATAACTTTCTCCTGCTCACAGCAAGTTATTTTTTCACCCACTTTTCTTTCTTCTTATTTACATTACATTGGTTCTAATAACTTCCCCTATACATTCCTTGGCATTCTTGTCTGTTAGATCTCATATATATATACTCCACGTCTCAGAAACTGCTGTTGTCATGTGTTGAAGAATGTATTGACCATTTTGGAGGAACCACGTTTCAAAGAAAGCTAGCGGACGTAGCGTGTATTAGCGCAGTACATAAGAGAAAGGGACATGACACAGACGTAGAGATAGGTAGGCGCTAAACTTACATTTGTTTATTTCATGCCAATCACCCCCATTTTATACATCCGCGACGAAGCACGACTCATCTTGCAAGTGTTCTTAAACCAAGGAACGTCATTTCCTTTTCTGACAAGGATATCGATGACGAGCTTACACAAATGGCCTAATTCTTCTATAGCTTCGACTTTTTTTATCTCCCGTATGAGCCGATCTCTAGAACGACCGATAACTATGCAACTATACAGATCAGGGGAGCACCCACAGTCTTTGCAGTGTGCCGCCAGGAATCGTCCCGCCGTAAGCTTATTTCTCGCATTATAGCAGTGCTCGCGTAATCCGTCATTCAGACACTGTTTTGTTTGCCCAATATAGTACATCTCGCAAGATAATACAAACTTGTAGATGACACAGGATACACAATCAACGAATCTAATGTGGTGTTTCTTATCACTAGCTGGGGGAGCAACATTTCTTGGACAAGTGAGCTTGCAAAGCTCCCCTAGTTTCTTGGGCACTGAAAAAACGACACGTGCATTAGCCCTTTGGGCCACTTTGCTTAAGTTATGAGAAATTGTGTGCATGTAAGGGATTACACCTACTCTGCAGCCCGAGTACTCCGAAACTTCACGTCTGTTTTCTTTTCTAGACATTTGGAGAATGCGTTTCGCTACAGAAATCTATAACAGAATTGGGTAGCCTGCTTCGGTTAGACGCTTGCTTTGGGTCTCGAAACTGGATGCCATCTTTTGGTGACACGATTTGGTCACGACATTTTTAAAACACAAGTTTGCGATGCCCCTCTTAATGAGTTTTGAATGCACGGAAGCGAAAGAAATAAGAGACTTATTCGCTCGCGGCTCATACCACCAGCTCGTGTGGTTTTCCGAGCATAATAACATTCTGTCAAACGCGTTGCCGATTTTTTCACTAGCAGTGCGTTGTGTGTATTACCTGCCGACAAAGAAGGTGGCTTTGCCGTTTTGCCTACAGGCACATTTTGTGCTAAGGCAGACGAGGCCATCTCCAGTGTTTTTAAACGAAATGATGACATCACTCTGTCTAAGGCTAAGACGCAGACGCAAGTTTCGGAGTACTCGGGCTGCAGAGTAGGTGTAATTCCTTACACGCACACAATTTCTCACAACTTAAAGTGGCCGAAAGGGCTAATGTACGTGTCGTTTTTTCAGCGCCCAAGAAACTAGGGGAGCTTTGCAAGTTCACTTGTTCAAGAAATGTTGCTCCCCAGCTTGTGATAAGAAACACCACATTAGATTCGTTGATTGTGTATCCTGTGTCATCTACAAGTTTGTATTATCTTGCGAGATGTACTATATTGGGCAAACAAAACGGTGTACGAATGACGGATTACGCGAGCACTGCTATAATGCGAGAAATAAGCTTACGACGGGACGATTCCTGGCGGCACACTGCAAAGACTGTGGGTGCTCCCCTGATCTGTATAGTTGCATAGTTATCGGTCATTCTAGAGATCGGCTCATACGGGAGATAAAAAAAGCCGTAGCTATAGAAGAATTAGGCCATTTGTGTGTAAGCTCGTCATCGATATGCTTGTCAAAAAAGAAAATGACGTTCCTTGGTTTAAGTACACGTGAAAGATGAGTCGTGCTTCGTCGCGGATGTATAAAATGGGGGTGATTGGCATGAAATAAACAGTTGTAAGTTTAGCGCCTACCTATCTCTACGTCTGTGCCGTGTCCCTTTCATTTATGTACTGCGCTAATACACGCTACATTCATAGATGACCAACTCGCCCGATCAGCAACCCTTCTGAAAGCTAGCGGGTTCTTAAAAACCAAAGTCTCCATAGACCTTGTTCTGTCTGACTGTATTCAGCATTTTAGTGATGTAGCTGGCCCATTATCCTTGCAGTCTGGAAATAAAACGCCATTCAGTTTTTCGGCTGAAAAATTTTTCTGCTTGAATATCATGCTTGTTGGGATTATCGTTCTCGCAACAACAAGATGCTACTTTCGTATCAATCATCGTATTCTAAGTTGGTAAAGCGAGCAATCCCTAATCTTTGTTTTTAGAACACGTTTCGCAAATCATCCCCCATAAGACGTCTAGTAGTTCTGATAATCAGAAAGAGTGCCTTTCTCTAGCAGGTTACCCTGGCCTTGTACTT